TTTCAGTATCAAGTGTTGTGCAGGAGAAACGCTTCGGAAGCGTGAACGTTTGAACTTTGCAAAATGCGACTATGATAAACTCTGAAGCGGTTAATGTGGCAAATATTTCGGACTGTATTAAGGACATGAATGTGGCTGATTCATGGTCGTTTCTCAAAGACACGGTTATGTCAGCAGTTGATACCTGTGTACCTAAGATTACGCTTGGTGGAGTCAAAAAGTCCCAGTGGATGACCAGTGCAGTTAAGGCTCGGCTAAAGACCAAGAAAGAAGCCTACAAGCGATATTTACGAACTCGCAGCGATTCTGAGTATAACCTTTATGCAAGGGCTCAAAATCAAGCTAAAAAAGTTTGTCGCAATGCAGTGAAAAACTTCGAAAAAATATTGCTAAAAATGCAGAAAAGAATCCGAAGGCCTTCTTTTTGTACGCTAGTTCGAAGTGTAAGTCAAAGAACGGTATTTCTGATTTGAAAGTAGACCAACGAAAGATTTCCTCCGATGAGGGCAAGGCAAACGTTCTTAATCAGTTCTTCAGCAGTGTATTCACAGATGAGGACTTGAACAGTATTCCAGATATTGAGGAACGCCCAGTCAGCTCGAAACTAACAGGTTTTGAAATACACGAAGAAGAGGTTCTCAAGCGCCTGGTAGCTCAAAATCCCAACAAGTCATGTGGACCAGACGGCTTCCATCCCAGATTGCTCAAAGAATTAGCAACCGTTCTGGCCGGCCCATTGACAGTATTCTTTCAAAAAACTTTGAACGAAGGAACTTTGCTGTCCGACTGGAAAGAAGCACAAGTAACACCATTGTTCAAAAAAGGTGACAAAAGCAGCCCCGGCAACTATCGCCCTGTCAGTCTGACAAGTGTTGTTTGTAAGCTAATGGAATCTGTTGTGAGGGATAGGATTATCAATCACTTGACTGCTCACCATCTCATATCAGATTGTCAACATGGTTTTATTGCTGGTAGATCCTGCACCACTAACTTATTATTTACGTTGAACGAGTGGACTCGCCTGCTGGACGAAAGGGAACCAGTAGATGCATTGTACCTCGATTTTGCCAAGGCATTTGACAGTGTTCCGCATGAGCGGCTGTTACGTAAAGTGAAGTCTTTGGGAATTGAGGGAAATGTACTCCAATTATCGTTGGCGCTCCAAGTATGAACGCGTTCAAGAACAGACTAGATAAAGCTATGGAAAAATATATGTTCAGATTTGAAATGCCTAGCACCATATTGAACCCGGTGCAAGTCGAGTAGCTATTTCAAACTTTCGTCAGTCATGAAAAAATACGGTCAAATGACACGATTTCGATCTTCTGTGAACAAGGCACAAAAAGGAAAAGAATCGGCGAAGGAAAAGAATCGGCGACAGGCCACATCAGGCCTACACTGCAGCGCCGACATCACTATGTTATGTTATGTTATTATGCAACCTTTACATTGGTTGTAGCAAAGGACTTTTTGTCCGAGACAAGAATGGTCATAGGTGTTTTTTGCTAAGCTGGGTGTGCTGAATTCAAACTAATAAATAGTTTTGCTTCACCACTTTAAGTTTTCTGTCTTTTAAATTGTCATAGCAGGACTCTAGAGTGAAAAATATTTGCCGCAGTGTTCAGCAACTCAGATGTAGAACTTACACGATGGCATTCGTACGTACGCTGATGAGCTAAACTGCATTGAGAAATCGTAGATGACAGAATCCGGGCAGGAATAAGATGCTTATAGCCGAATAAGGAAGCAATATTGTAATTACTGACTCGTGACTCATGAATGTTATCATTTGGTATAAATTTTATGAACGCATAACAAGCAAATTATTCCGAACTTGTAAAGTTGTATGTAGACAATCTATTAGAAGTTGCTTCGCCTCTCATCTATTCTTGGTTGGTCAACACGCACCAAAAAATTATTGATTGTTCATCACCAATTGAAGGCAATGTTTGGATATAAGTTATCTCGTATAACTTTTCTCTTACCTTAATAGACAACCGATGAAATCTTACTTGAAATTCTTGATAGCTATATACTTCTGCACAGTATGCATGTTGGAGGCCAGCATTGCCCAATACCTGCATCACTTGCATACTCCTTCCCACGCACAACCCTGCTACAGGGTAAAAGTTGCCAAATAAAGAACACGGGCTGAATAAAGAAGTGTGAAATCACGACTGATGATGAAATGGAAAGAAAACTAGCAAACGAAGGAAAAAATTTATGATTTAAAAATGCCATTTGGTAGTTAGGAATGTATATTAATAATTTCGTTAGAATCTGTTCAGCAGTTTGGAAGAAATTCTTCGATCACTGCAAATTTTGATTCGTATTGCCAAGTAACTCACAAATGAAGGTGAGATTTTAAAATTTTTCACGTGCTTAACATCATGTTAGGTTCTGATGAATACATGTTCCAAGTTTCAAGCTGTGTTCATTAATTGGGAGTGGGAGATATTCTTTGATAATTGAATTTGGAGATGGGCTGTGAGACCAGCCACAAGTCTGGCCGTAAATTTTCCTGAGACGTCCTGGGTTTCTAGAGCTGAAACAGTTAAACAGCTGAAAAACATATTGGTTTACTGAATGGGGTTCTATTTGTGAAATACCCATTTGTGTTTAACCTTTCTCTTTTAAAATAACAGCATACTAAATACCAAGAATGAGGTGTTTGTTTTTGTATGTGTCTGTGGGGGGAGCACTAGAAATTCACTAGCTAGCCAAAGAGGGCGCCAGCCTGAAAAAGTTTGGGAGCCTCTGGTGTACATGGTGCCTTGGTGTCTTTTTGGCAGAATAACGGCGTCCTCGACCTATGTTGTGCTGTACTCTACAGACTGGTCTGCCAACCCCTTAATTGTGATTATTAAGCCTGTACCAGATGAATTTGGAATCTTTGAAATCTATCACCAACTTTCTTGCAAATGATTTAGCTCTTTGCAAAGATCTAACAAATAACCATGATGACAGATTTTGGATCCATAGGGGATGATCATGAAGGGAATTCACAAAAATGTCAGTAAAAATTCTTGATAGTAATGATGGATAGCCAAGATTCTCAATGTTTAATATTAGGTAGGTATTACTAAACTCAGAGCTGGGCAGCGCTACTTTGAAATGTAGCGCCGCTACCGCTACCGCTACCGCTACATGCTCTAAATGTAGCGGGCGCTACCACTACCGCTACACCCACTAGATTGTAATGGGCGCTACCGCTACCGCTGAAGAGGGTCGCAGAACATTAGCTATATTGTATCATAGTGTATTTTCTTACTTCTAGGTCATGCCTCCTAATGTCATCTGGTTTTCTCCCTTAGAAGGAGTGGTTTAAATTTTGTTTTGTTATTAATAATGTGTGTGTTTCTTCTGTGTTTGTTTCAGACATATATCTTTGTTATTGGCTTCACCAATACATGTGTCCAGTATTGCCAGTGAAAAAGAGTCTACCTTTAACATGCACCAGCATGGTCATGCACTCATGCTTGAACTTGTGCCTATCTGCACCTGATTGTCTATCAATGTCTGCATCCATTGCCTGAATTCCAATTTACCTTGAAGTGATTGTCAACCTAATCCTGCTTGCCAAACTGCCGATACTCTGGTTCTTCCACATACTCCTGTTTCCTAAGCAACTTCAACGCTCCTTTAAGGGTGAGTTGCAGTGAACTGGTAATATGATGCATTAATTTCCTGTCCTACCCATTTTCATGCTTTAACTAAATTGCACCCAATTTGGCTTATGATCTTGGTAAATATTTGGTTGCTTTTACAGTTATTGAGTGTTTACATTGTGACATTTGCATTACAGCATTAAGTCTTGTGTTATGCTTTGTGTTCCCTTTTGCTATACTGTATGGAGTAAGTGTCCTGCTTCTACATTGTAGCATGGGATTTGCAAAAGTTATAAACTTTTTTAGAGTACCCCTTATTTGCCGTTTTCTATTAATTCCCCGTTTCTTTCATTTTTTTAAATTTACATGAACAAAAAGGTCTTAGATTTCTGTTTTACATATGTGTACCAAGTTTCAAAACGATCCGTCTGTAAACAAAAAAGTTTTTTTGGAGGGTAGCCGGCCCCTTTAAGTAAAATCTAAAGGCTTTATCTATAAATGTAGCGGTAGCGCTGTAGCGGCAAAACCTCGTATCGCTACTTAAATATGTAGCGGGCGCTACCGCTACATTGCCTTAAATGTAGAGCCGCTACCGCTACTGAAAATGTAGCGGCCGCTAGTAGTGGCCGCTACATGTAGCGCGCTACTGCCCACCTCTGACTAAACTTCTCTACTAGTCGAAATGGATCTTGGATGAGCTAATGCCAACTCCCACTTGATCACACTGTGTGTGCAGGAGTGATAGGAATCATTATAATTATGTTTGATAAATTAAAAACATTATTGTTTAATCATACACTAATATTATTATGGATTGACTTGAAACTTTGTCATTTTAAATCAAACATTTGCTTCCAATTTCTCATATTTATAGAAAATAAATAACTAGCTTGGATCAACTCAAACATGAAACAAATTGGGTCACTGATAGCAAAGCAACATTTAACTTGTTAAGAACTGAGAAATATAGGAAAAATGTTAGTTCACTGTAGAGTTCAAACTTATTTTCAATTGCTTTATGGCCTCGGAAGTTGAACGTAACTCGACTTATGAGTGCTTCTAGCATATGTGAAGTTGCGCATAACTTTTTTGATATATGTTGGGAAGATGCCATCTTTTAGACTTATGCATACTTATGCAGTTGCTACAAAGTATGACCCAATATTTTTAGACATGAATGTCAAGATTTATTCAAAGCCAAATTTATATGTTTTCTAGATTTTATTTATGAATAATATTTTATACTTGTGCATTACCTAAGTAATATCTTATCTTACAAACTTTGTACAGTCTACCAAATAATTGGGCAGAAGCTTCATTTGTATAAGTGATAAGATTTCAAATTAGAGTAAACTAGTATTTGACTTTAGGTAAAAAGTTTGTCTTTTCTAATCCATGTTCAAAGGAAAGTTGTGAGCCCAATTCTGTTTACTCTGAATATCTTGCACTACCTAAACTTGCATTATACCTTACAGAAACATTCTAGAGCTCTAAGACTCCAGCAGAGATGAAGGAGTTACCCGCATTGCAGGAGTCTTCTGATGCAGTCAAGTTAGGTGCAGGTCTCGAGCTGTGTCATCATACAGCTGAAGACTGCAGGCAGATGGAGCATTCCTTGCCAAGTTGTGTCATGGGTAATTAGCTCATTGTAATGTTTTGATTTATGTAATATTTTGTTATGATGTTTATTCTCATTGCAGTAATAACAAAATTGATGTTTGCTCTGGTTGCCATATGATTAAAATCAATTTTTATATTTGTTTATACACTTGCAATTTCATCAAGAATCTGGTTTGGTTTTATCACTTATGTTTTCTAAGCAAGTATGTATGTGCACGAAGTGTCTCTGGCAGAGAACTGTTTGCCCTCCAACTTTTGACATTAAGTTGGAAAATTTATTTGCTCCATTGTACATATTTTGGCATAAGCAAGTATACAGAATATAAAGGATTTGTGATCATTATTTTGATTTTAGCACAAATCACAGAAAATATGGCTTTTTAAAGTTAAATTGTATGGCTTGGATAAGATTTATGTGAATTATATAACATTTAGAATTGATGTCTGGCATTCTCAAATTTGATGTTAATATTCATGTAGCCAGTGCTGAGTATTTTGACCATATATGATAAGCTAAGGTCAGCAACTATTGACAATTTTGAAGTATGTTCCTCAATAATTGAATCAGTACTCAAGTTGTGGCACTTGCAGAAGCTGTGAAGATTGAGCCTCGTGATGAGCAGCAATCAAACTGTGACTCGGGGCTCCCAGCTGGCTTCCTTGAAGTGGAGAAAGAGGAACCTTTCTTCATGGAAGAAGTTAGTGATTTTCCTTTGAAGAATGTTCTTTTGTTATCAATCTTTGAAATTTATTAATAATACAAGCCCAATAATAGCCTAATAAAGTTCAGCAAAGTTCTGAGTTACGCATGAAGGAAGATATGGGCACTTGCTTTGTTAGCATTATATCCAAGATGCTTTATAGTTTCTTCTATCCAAGATGTCAGAGCCTTCCTTTTTTTATGAAGCTGAGTATAGTTTTTTCATTTCCAGTGTAGAATTTATGACATATTACCCATACAGATTTTATACTTCTAGAAAATAAACTTTTATGGATATATGATATATGTATCCATATATCATTATTTAACTTCAGCTGAATTTTCGATTTCCTAATAACCATTTGCTTGCATTATATGTTTATCGAATGTTATTAGGTAAGATTGTGTTATACAATACGATCTTTGCAATAGTTTAAATTTTGCACTGATGTCATTCTAGCTCCCAACATTCTTCAGTTTATTAAACTCCATTGAATTTAATTTAGATTTATTAAAATGAAAATTATAGACTTCCAATTTACTGCCATGAATGTGGACTAAATTTGCACGTCAGTTGTGAAACTTGGTAGAGTCATCTGATTAGCCTCTGAGTTGCTGAACCAAGACCTCTCAAATATTACACTTATTTAGTACGTCAACATTCAGTCTAAATAGATTTAGTATCATTTCTTCCATCTGAGCAGGACAGTGCTACAGTTGCTGACTTCAAACCGTTCCAAATTCCATTCCTGGGCTTGGATTCTCTCAAGGCAGAGCCTGTCGAGGCTGGGGCATCTCCATCCATCCCCCAGGCTCCTCCTGCAAACCAAGAACTCCCAACAAGGGCAGGAATCTTTACCGCTGTTCAAAAAGCCTCTGAGACTGCCTGCTTAGCCTCTACTTCTCTGGAGGCGCACAATTGTGGTGCTTCAATGGCTCTTCCGCCTTCAGAAACTTCAACTTCCAAGAGCAAGAGTCAAACAAATGAAATGAAAATCTCATCCACTGAACAAGAAGCTGGTGAAGCTCGCTCGCCTAATAATGGCCGCCTTCCTCCTACTCCTGCACCATCAGTAAATTGTAACGTTCTCAGCTACAATGGAACGAGAACTGTCCCTGCAACGCGGGAGGCTTCTTTTAAGGCGAAAGAGGCGCACAATTCTGTGGATTTGGAACGTTCAAAGCATCTGTGCATCAAATTTAAAAAATGCAGTGTACTATTGACTCGCATTAATGTTTCTGAAAATTACATTTACGTTTGCGATGAAGAAAATGAAAATAATATTTGCTCAGAAGAAATAGCATTTCCAGAGCCTTATCCTGATCATGGGAGCAAAGATTCAGAGCGACCTAAAATGCGCAGTGAAAAAGTGTGCAAAAGTGGGGGACCAAAATCAAGTGAAGAGAATGAGTTAAGCATTTCTAAAAATACTGATAGTCTGCGAAGGACATCCCTCAATCGTTCTAAGCGTCTAAATGCTTCTATGAAGGAGGCAATTTCTTCCACAACCTCCCACGTGCGTCGTAACAAAGAGAAGACTCGCAAGTGTCATGTCTGTGGCGCAGCTTTCCGCTTTAAATCTAATCTTGACCGACATATCAACGCAGTTCATCTTAAATTGAGGCCCTACAAGTGCTCTAAGTGCGATTATGCCTCCAGTCGGGTTTCTGGTTTACAAACCCATTTAAACACAGCGCATAGCTGTTTCGCCGGCGCCCAATTAATAGAGAAACATCACGAGTGTTCTGACTGTAGCTATGCTGCTACTTCCAAGAACAATCTCAACCGGCACATAAAACATGTACATCTGAAGATAAAACCACATAAATGCTCCCTCTGTGATTATGCTGCCGCAACTAAAACACTTCTTCGTTATCACGTTACAGGTGTCCATCAGAAACTCAGGCGCTACAAATGCCATGAATGTGCCTACGCTGCCGCCGTGAAGAGTAAACTTGCGCTCCATATGAAAGCCGTTCACTTGAAACTAAAGCCATTCAAGTGCAATGAGTGTGACGGCTACTTTTCTCAGAAAGGTCATCTAAAAGCTCACATTTCCAGGGTGCACCTCAAAGACAGCCCGCACACGTGTCCGCACTGTTCCTACTCCGTGTGGTGGAAAGCAGATCTTGCTCAGCATATCGCTATCGTTCACCAGAAGCTGAAGCCTCACAAGTGTCCTCAGTGTGACTTCACTTGCAGAATTAAAGGGCATCTTAATTCTCATGTTAATGCTGTTCATTTAAAATTACGACCTCACAAGTGCCAGACGTGCAAGCGCGGGTTCTCCCAGAAAGCAAGTCTAGAACGGCACATGAAATTGGTGCACATGAATTTGAGGGAACACAAATGTTCACAGTGTGATTACGCTGCAAGTTCTCGCTGGGATCTCAAGAAACATGTTGATGCGGTGCATCTGAAATTAAAGAAATACAAGTGCCGAATTTGTGAGTACAGCACCGCTAACAAGTCTAGGCTTATAAGGCATGCTGCTCGTAAACACTGAAAATCAATTGGCTTCCACACCGAGTATAATTATTGCTGGAAAAGATATCTTTTATATGCCCTGTGTACGAAATTAGTTCCATTTATTTCTTCTCTGCTGAAGGTAGCCAACACCAATACCGCTGAACTTGCTACACTTATTGTAGTCTTTATTATTATATTCTATATATTCATTATGTTACATTTAGAGGAGGGCAAACCTGAGCTGGATGGCGTCCGCGGGCAAGTGGTTCTATTCGGATATGGTTGTGGGGAAAAATGTCATCTGGGGGTATTGAGTCCAGCTGAAAGGAACGACATACTGTAGAGGGTGGGACTTGCTGGTATTCTGCATGGAGCAGCTGACAGGGGAGGGGGAGGTGGCTATAACTTTAACCTTTCTTCATAAGGCTTGCCTTTTAATCCCGGAATTATCTTTGTTGCACATCTTGGAACACTCGCCACTAAATTTTTGTCCTTTTATTGCTTTGGTGACCACACGGCGTTTCCAAACTCTAGGTTCGGGCGCACGACAGCGACAATCAACTGCTTCATCGCTTCAGCACCTATGTACTCTAAAGAGCGTCTGATTAGTCCAAGTCGTTTATTGGCGTTATTAGCTTGAGCTTCAAGATGCTTAGAAAATTTCAACTCGTCGACATCAACTCATAATTTATTTTCCATTGTCGACTTCGACATCATCACTGTCGTTGCAATCATGTCTTCTCATACTGTAATCTTGCTGTTCATTATTCTTGTCAAGATGGATTACTTTACCTTTGTCAGCGTTAAAACGCAGCTGCCACTTATCAGCCCAGTCAACCAACCTGTCAGGATCAGCTTTCAACTGTACTTTTTGCGACGAATTCTTCACTGTATGTCACGTATTCGCTAGTAAAACGATTTTAATGACATGGTCAGACGGGAGCCAAATAGTTCTTTTTTTTGTGTGGCAACATTTTGCGGGGCGGAGGCTACAGGCCATATGAGCTGCAGCCACCAGGGCGTCGCCAATTAACATTTCATTTTCTCTACTCGTATTGCCTTAGGGTTTTAATCACTGCTGTAATTATTTTATCTTTGCGGACGCAGTATTACTCTGGTGTATATTTGGATTAGATGTGAATACCTGTTTTTACGCGACTGGATTAAATGCCATGAATATTCGTTAATCTTCTAAAGAATCCTCTCGATCGATTCAGTTGAGACTGTTATTGCGACTTTTAATTTACTTCATTTAGCCTGTGTCAATCTGTTTTACTGTGTTCAAACCTATCACGATGCCCCCAGTAAAACATTTCCTGTTTCGCTACTTTCAGCTTACAAGAACAATAAAGGAGAAAACCCCTGTTCGTTTTGTTAACTGCCTCGGCAACACAGTCCTATACGTGAAACGCCTTGGATACTGTATGATAAACTTTTGTGTCGTCAGCATACATCGAGTGTGTCTACAAAAGTGTGTAGACACTCTCGAGTGTGTCTACATCGAGTGTGTCATCAGCATACATCATGGAGTTACATGTGTCTAGCACACGCTAGACACAGCTTCTGGCATATCATTCATAAATATAAATAAAACAGCCCAGAGAACGATTCCTTGTTGCTGTTGTTGTAATTGTCCATCCTAGTAGTGGCGGGAAGGAGGGGGGGTGATAGGTCAGTTTTTCCGGGCACTTAATGCCACTCGTAGTTCTACGACCAGCACTGGCTCGTTGACCCGCCAGAACCATTTTTATAGAATTACACAACACCTTCGACAAGCCAGGTACTCATTTATCAACCAGAGTTGGATGAATGGCTCTGTTGACCATGAGCTGAGCATCCCGGAAGAACTTGTCCTCAGTGGGACTCGAACCCGGGAGCTGGGTGTCAGAGACAGTCTCTAACCACTTGGTCTTCCTTCTTGGCTTTAGAAACCGAGTCTCTCACCACTGTACCGCCACCGCAGCTCACGCTTCTTTTTGGCACGTCGCTGCGCACTGAAGCCCAGTCAGATACGGACCCATTAATACTGACACGTTGTCGTCTCCCTACTAGAAAATCTCTGATCCATTTGAGTGCATTACCCTCAATTCCAAAAGACTGCAATTCACGCAACAGCCGCTCATGTGGGACACTGCCAAATACCTTGGCAAAATCAAGGTACACTGCATCTACTGGCTCCCTTCCGTCCAGCAGGCAGGTCCATTCGTTCAGAGTAGACAAGAGGTTATGAACTTGTGGTGCAGTATCTACCGGCAATAAAGCCATGTTGACAGTCTGATAGGATATTATTAACAGAAAAATGATCGATCAATCGATCCCTTACAACAGATTCCATAACCTTGCAAACGACACTTGTCATACTGACAGGGCGATAGTTGCCCGGGCAGCTTTTGTCACCTTTTTTGAACAATGGTGTCACTTGAGCTTCTTTCCAGTCAGCCGGCAAGATCCCTTCGTTGAAACTTTTTCAAAAAATGACGTCAAACGGCCGGCTATGACAGTTTCCAACTTTTTTAGTAATCTGGGGTGGAAGCCGTCCGGTCCACATGACTTGTTTGGATTTACAGCGATAAGGCGCTTGAGAACCTATTCTTCTTGTATGTCAAAACTTGTTAATTTAGAGCCGACTGGGCGCTCCTCAATAGCTGGAATACTGTTCAAGTCCTCTTCAGTGAATACGGTAAGTTACTAAAAACTGATTAAGAACTTTAGCCTTGCCCTCATCAGAGGATATCTTTCGTTGATCTACTTTCAAATCAGAAATACCGTCCTTTATCTTGCACTTCGAGCTAGCGTGTAAAAAGAAGGCTTTCGGTTTTTTTTTTGCATTTTTAGCAATACTTTTTATCGAAGGTTTTTACTACTGTGCGACAGCTTTATTTTGCTTGATTTTGAGCTCTTGCGTATAGGTTATAATCGGCATCGCTCCGAGTCTGTAAATAACGCTGGTAGGCTTCCTTCTTCTATTCTAACTTAACTAGAAGTATACTGTTCATCCAACGAGGTTTTTTGACTCCACCGAGCCTAATTTTAGGTATCGTATACATATGCAGCAACTGCAGACATAATAATAATAATAATATAATAGCGGTTTCAACGTTTATTAGGCCGTAGGCCTGTCGCCGATTCTTAACATCGCAAANAGTCATAGCAGGACTCTAGAATGAAAAATATTTGCCGCAGAGTTCAGCAACTCAGATGTAGAAGTTACACGACGGCATTCCGACGTACGCTGATGAGCTAAACTGCATTGAGAAATCGTAGATGACAGAATCCGGGCAGGAATAAGATGCTTATAGCCGAATAAGGAAGCAATGTTGTAATTACTGACTCGTGACGCATGAATGTTATCATTCGGTAGAAATTTCATGAACGCATAACAAGCAAATTATTCGGAACTTGTACATAGACAATCTATTAGAAGTTACTTCGCCTCTCATCTATTCTTGATTGGTCAACACGGCCCAAAACCAAAAAATTATTGATTGCCCATCACGAATTGAAGACAATTTTGGGATACACGTAATCTCCTATAACTTTTCTGTTGTCTTAATAGATAACCGATAAAATCTACATCTATCAGGACGGTATGCATGTTGGAGGCCAGCATTGCCCAATACCAGCATCACTTGCATACTCCTTCCCACGCACAAGCCTGCTACAGGGTAAAGTAACCTACGGTATTATGTGCTGAAAGCCTAAGGTACAAATTTCCTTCATGGAAGTGTACCAGCGAGCCAATGAGCTGTAAGCCAACGAAATATTAGCCGTCGGGCTGGACACTTGAGACCTCCCGCTTCTTTCACCTGTCACTTCCTTGTCACTTCGTCTCTTTGAGATGCTAACGTCGCTTCTTGCCAGCTTCAGCCCCTTGTGGGTGATGAATGTTTTGAGATGCCGCTGGTGGTCTGCTGTGAGCGTTTTTTGGTACCCATGTTTACCATACCATAGAATAGTATTCAGTCACAATCTTGTTAATAGTGGTTTTGCTGAGGAATTATTTACACAGCTCTCGCACTGTAATCCGTTGATTTTCAAGCATTACCGCTTCGACCTGGCAATAGTTTCGTCAGAAACCGATGGCCGCCTGTCACGGGTGTCGTCGAGGATGTCAGTTCGGCCAATTTTAAAGACCCTTACCCAACTACGCAACATTCCAGAGCTTGACAAATGTTTTCGTGAATTTCCTTCTCCGGTTTATTCCTAGCGGCCGCAGCTACCCTGGCTTGGTAAGAGATTTGAGTTGGGGAATCAAACAACCTGCCTCTTGATTGATGCCGGGTTGAAGGTGAAGAAGTAGTCGTGCGCAGACCGCCTGTTACACCTGGACTCAGCAATTATTGTTTAATTTAGTGCAAGTCTTCATCCTCTCACTCTCAGCTTCTCTTCTTCCTCTCTCAGCTGGTAATTGTTCTCCAGGTTGTCAGCAGTCTCACGATGTATAGCAAATTTTATTAGATCCAGTGCTCTTTACTAGCTATAAGGTAGCTAGACGACCAGTTTGTGTGAGATACGTAGCAGTTGCTCGCACTATGGAGTGCTGAACTCTTCTGGGGTAATTGCTTCCCCCGAGAAGCACACGCACAGAGATGAGAGGGATTCCCAGGGCATTGATGCTTGATACCATCACATGTCTCTCACGGACGTATTGAGCACAGATCAGGAGGTAGTGTTCAACTGTTTCTTCAACCCTACAATGCAGACACATGGGAGTGTCAGCCATTCCAAATCGATGAAGGTAAGAGCGGACTCCAACATGTCCCAGACGAAGGCGAGTTAAAACAACTGAAACACGGCGAGAATGACAAGTAATCCATGGGACAGGAGACAATCCTGAACGAATGGAAGCAAGATGATGACCCCGTCCATCAGTAGCCACCGCAGAAACCCAATCCAACTCCCAAAAATTAAGGAAGCCTGTCCGAAGCATAGCAAGGGCATCATGGTAGCGCGTGCCGGAGTTGATAGGAAAGACGTAGTGGACGCGTCTGATGTTAGGCTGCGAATGACTGCAGCTACGAAGCTTTGCCTATGATTGGCTATGCCTGCCTATGTCTGACTGGTGTTCAGCTTGAAGAGCTTGTATTGTATTGTAGTCCGTTTTGAGGTTGCTTAAATGACCCTCGACAGGGCACTTGTTGCACCTTGATTTATCAAACGATCTTCAACGGGTTACTTAGTTTGAAGTATATTGTTTCGAGGCAGTCTTGACCAGCTTTCAATATTATTCAGGCGTTCGGTACTCATGATGTATCCAACCGTTGCTTTTACAATGACAAATAGGGTGTTCCGTGAGAAGTCTCCTCCATCCCAGCAGGTCTCGCACTGTAAGGGGGCTAGCCCCATGGGGGTCCACAGCACTTTCAAGTCTTCGGGCTTCAAGGTGTAGTCCACAATC